GGGGCCAATAATGGCACCTTGCAAACCAAGCCAATACATTCCACCGATAATTGCAAGGCCAGTGACGTATGGATGACTTCCTCTGCAAAACCGAACAAGTAATTTATTCGCTATCCAAAAAATGGTGGTAATTTTTGCTGTGAAAATATCCACAAAAATTTCTCTTCCCATTTTCGCAAAAGAGTGAGAAAATTGCTTTTTTAGCCAAGATGGAAATTTGAGTGAGCAACTGGAGCAATTAAGTGGAGGTGATGCAAGAAATCTATCTAACGTGTATTAAATGGACAATAACGTAAGTGAAAAAGGCGCTAAAATTTAGTATATTTGGATTATGCTTGAATATCTGAAGCACCAACGATTCATAGACTAGTCGTAGGCGGATCTAAAGGAGAAGGGAACGGAAGGCGGGGAGGGGAAGAGGGGGATGACCTTAGCAGCACAGATATCAGTGCTACAAAAGTCTGGGTTTAAAGCTAAAACCGAAGAAAAATCTCTTCCGCATCCCCTCCCCCCTCCTTCCCCCCCACAGCTGCCCCACCCCTTTTCCCTCGGCCATCACCGCACCAGTAGGCTCACTTTCTCCACCTCCCCCGCTCCTTCTCCCAGTAGGCCGCTTATGGGTCTAGTTTTCTAACTATGCAGCTGGCAACTTCTCCAACTATCTTAACCAATGCTGCTTCACCTGTAATAAAACTGTTGAGACGATCAAGAATTTTGCTTCGTCTCAAGTTTGGAGTAATTAGATATAGCTGAATAGAAATAAAGTAAAAGAAACAAGCAAACAGATTGGACGAATGTTGACACACAAACACAAAGAAAATTAAAACATATTACGTAAATACATACCCCAACCGTTGGGGCTATTAACGCTGATGGTTTCATCTGGGTGCTCCTGGTCAAATACTTTTTCATTAGTAAAGGAGAACCTAAATCCTCTCTTTTTCACTCTAAAAGGATAATGTTAAAAATATATTTTAAAATATTTCATTTAACTTTATTATATATTTACCTTCATCTTTCAAGAATCAAAAAAGGGTGGAATTTAGATTCTCCTTTACTCATTTATCACAAAAATTTCCAACTACAATGGTTCTCAATAAAAAAA